GTCTCCCTTAGTTGCCCAAGTTGCCCAAGCTAGAGTGCAGTGGCACTATCATATCTCACTGCAGCCTCAAATTCCTGGGCTTGAGTGATTCTCCCACCTCAGGTTCCTGAGTAGCTGGGACTAAAGGCGGGTACCAACACACCCAGCTGATTTACCTATATTAAACAGGGGGCTTTGATGACAAATGATCCCCAAGGCCATGCTAGCCTTTCACTTAAGTCCTCTGTCAAGCATTTTAACTGAGCTGCTCAAAAGACCAGGTTTACAAATTAGCAATTTCAGTTTGTTCCCTTTTTCCTACTGGGGCCTAGGTATTCAATCAGGAAAAACTGCTTCCCAAACTGACACAACTAGCTGGACAGCTTTTCTTAGAGCCCTTAGGAGACAGGGTCCTTTAGACTTCAGAGTTTTAGGAGAGAGAGCCAGGGAGTTCCAGATTGGTTTAGTTCTGAAAAATATACTAGGTATCTCTAAAGAGGGGAGGCATAATAAAGATTAGACAGGCCAGGCACAGTGGCTTCATGCCTGTAATCCTAACACTTTGGGAAGCCGAGGCAGGAGGGTCACTTGAGCTCAGGCACTCGAGACCAGCCTAGGCAACATAGTTACCAACACAGGCAACAAAGACCAGCCTCCTTTCTATTAAAAAGTAAATTTAGGCCAGGCATGGTGGCTCACACCTGTAAACCCATCACTTTGGGAGGCTGAGGCAGATGGATCACTTGAGGTCAAAAGTTCAAAACAAGCCTGGCCAACATGGCAAAATCCTGTCTCTACTAAAAATACAAAAATTAGCCAGGCATGGTGGCGGGCACCTCTAATCCCAGCTACTCAGGAGGCTGAGGCAGGACAATTGCTTGAACCTGGGAGGTGGAGGTTGCAGTGAGCCGAGATTGCACCACCGTACTCCAGCCTGGGCAAAAGAGCAAGACTTTGCTTGGAGAAATGTAAATAAATATACTCTGCCCTAATGACTGCAAAAGTTAGAGAAACCAAAGAGGGACTCCACAGACTTAAACAACGAAAGCCACAACCAAATAGTCTACCTACTCAAGGTAAATAAGCTAGCTATATTTAGTCAAGCATTAGGTAATGCATCAGTTGTTCCCTTGATCACTTATACCCGTAACAGCTAGCAACAAATATTCACAACAGTGTGGTGGAAAAGTTGGTTACAGTTAAATAGTATGTGAAAATTAAGTACTCAAGTACACTTGAGTTTGTGGGGTTTTGAGGTTTGTTTTTTGGGGGAAAGTACTATTTTTCACATTTGCACAACATCACTGCAATAACAATTCCACTTTATTCTTTCTCACACAAAGTGTAAATGATTGAGGCTAGAAATAAAAGTTATTTTTTTAAAAAAAGAGAATGTTGTCAGGCATAGTGGTTCACGGCTCTATAATCCCCGCACTTTGGGAGGCCAAGATGGGCAGATCACCTGAGGTCAGGAGTTGGAGACCAGCCTGGCCAACATGGTAAAACCCCATCTCTACTAAAATTGCAAAAATTGGCCGGGCACAGTGGCTCACGCCTGTAATCCCAGTACTTTGGGAGGCCAAGGTGGGCAGATCACAAGGTCAAGATATCGAGACCATCCTGGCCAATACGGTGAAACTCCATCTCTACTACAAATACATAAAAAATTAGCTAGGCATGGTGGCGCCCGCCTATAATCCCAGCTACTCGGGAGGCTGAGGCAGGAGAATCGCTTGAACCCAGGAGGTGGAGGTTGCAGTGAGCCGAGACTGCGCCACTGCACTCCAGCCTGGTGACAGAGTGAGACTTTGTCTCAAAAAAAAAAAAAAAAAAAAAAACCTCCAAAAATTAGCCGGGTGTGGTGGTGAGCTGCTGTAATCCCAGCTACTTGGGAGGCTGAGGCAGGGAGAATTGCTTGAACCCGGGAGGCAGAGGTTGTGGCGAGCCAAGATCGTGCCAAAAAGAAAAAAAAAAAGAATGTCAAATTTAGCCCTAAACTGCTGACCAAAGGATAGTAATCATACTTTGCAACTGGAGCAAAATATATGCTCCAGGAGGCAAAGTTTCAATCTTTGGCCAAATTTTCGCCAAAAAAAAATCAAGAACAGGATGTTGGGGCCTAAACAAAGGAGCATGAAAAATTAACTGGCCAGGCACTGTAGCTCACACCTGCAATCCCAGCACACTGGGAGGCCGACCGAGGTGGGCAGATCACCTGAGGTCAGGAGTTCGAGAACAGCCTGGCCAACATGGTAAAACCCCATCTCTACTAAAAATACTAATACAGGCCGGGCACGGTAGCTCATTGACTGCAATCCCAGCACTTTGGGAGGCCGAGGCGGGAGGATCATCTGAGGTCGGGAGTTCAAGACCAGCCTGACCAACATGGAGAAACCCCATCTCTGCTAAAAATACAAAACTAGTTGGGCATGGTGGCGCATGCCTATAATCCCAGCTCCTCAGGAGGCTAAGGCAGGAGAATCGCTCGAACTTGGGAGGCGGAGGTTGTGGCGAGCTGAGATCATGCCATTGCGCTCCAGCCTTGACAACCAGGCGAAACTCCACCTCAAAAAAAATAAAATAGGCTGGGCGCGGTGGCTGACGCCTGTAATCCCAGCACTTTGGGAGGCCGAGGCGGGCAGATCACAAGGTCAGGAGATTGAGACCATCCTGGCTAACATGGTGAAACCCCGTCTCTACTAAAAATACAAAAAATTAGCCGGGTATGGTGGCAGGTGCCTGTAGTTTCAGCTACTCGGGAGGCAGGAGAATGGCGTGAACCCGTGAGGCGGAGGTTGCAGTGAGCTGAGATTATGCCACTGCACTCCAGCCTGGGCAACAGAGTGAGACTCTGTCTCAAAAAAATAATAAAAAATAATAAAATAAAATACAAATACAAAAATTAGCCAGGCATGGTGGCAAGTGCCTGTAATCCCAGCTACGCAAGAGGCTGAGGCAGGAGAATCGCTTGAACTCAGGAGGTGGAGGTTGCAGTGGGCCAAGATCGCGCCACTGCACTCCAGCCTGGGTGACAGAGCAAGATTCCATCTCAAAAAAAAAAGAAAAAAGAGCCGGGCACGGTGGCTCACGCCTGTAATCCCTGCACTTTGGAAGGCCGAGGCGGGCGGATCACGAGGTCAGGAGATCGAGACCATCCTGGCTAACACGGTGAAACCCCATCTCTACTAAAATACAAAAAATTAGCCGGGCGCGGTGGCGGGTGCCTGTAGTCCCAGCTACTCGGGAGGCTGAGGCAGGAGAATGGCGCTAACCCGGGAGGCGGAGCTTGCAGTGAGCCGAGATCGAGCCACTGCACTCCAGCCTGGGTGACAGAGTGAAGACTCCGCCTCAAAAAAAAAAAAAAAAAAAAAAAAAAAAAAAAAAAAAAAAAAAAAAAAGAAAAAAGAAAAAAAATTGATTAACTGTGGAAACCAAAGAGAAGCAAGCATCTTCATCCCAAAGAGGGGGAATCACTGTAAAGAATCAGTCCTTTTCTGCAATTATACAGGCAGTAGGAAAAATAAATAACTCCTACCTCTGTCAATAAATCCTACTCACACATAGTCACTGGTCCCTAGGATTTGGCCATCAGGCAAAATGAGCATCCATGACTTCATGGAAACAACCAGTGGGCACCCTGAGAGACTGATCCTCCTTCAGCCTACTTGGATGGCTCTTTTGTGGTGCTATGGACAACTAAGGCCACACTTTGGTAAGGCAGGCTTTCCAACTGCCCCAATGATCTTTGAAGCATTGGTTGTGAAGTTCTCATATAACAAAGTTACAGGAAGTAGGTGTTTACATAGCGACTTAAGACTAGTTACTCCTCTAGGTATTTATGAGGGACACAGCACTGATACCATTTTCAAATGAGGAAACTTATGAACATAGAGTTTGTAGAATTTGTCATAAAGAACATGAGTTTGTAGAATTTGTCATAAAAGCATAACACAACTCATCTCAGAGGGGACAGCTGAGGAGGAAGTTGAAAGTCTGGTTGAACAGTAGATGAACAACAGACTAAGCAACAAAATGACCAGCTTGGCCTCATCATCAGTATTTGGCCTCTGGCCAAGCCAACCAAGTCAATGGCAGCACACACAGAAATAGAGCTTGGAGTTCCTAATTTTCAGTCCTTCAGTCCTGTGTTTTCTTTAGATAACCAGGAGGCCATTAATATGCTGGTTTTATTCCCAATTTTACTTTTTTTTTTTTTTTTGAGACGGAGTCTCGCTCTGTGGCCCAGGCTGGAGTGCAGTGGCACGATCTCAGCTTACTGGACCCTCCGCCTCCCGGGTTCATAGCTGGGAGTACAGGCGCCCACCACTGCGCCTGGCTAATTTTTTTTCTTTTATTTTCTTGAGATGGAATCACGCTCTGTCGCCCAGGCTGGAGTGCAGTGACATGATCTCAGCTCACTGCAACTTCTGCTCCACGCGCCCCCTCCCCCGTTTCGAGGGATTCTCCTGGCTCAGCCTCCCAAGTAGTTGGGACTACAGGCGTGCACCACCACACCCAGCTAATTTTTGTATTTTTAGTAGGGACCGGGTTTCACCATGTCTGCCAGGACAGTCTCAATTTCTTGACCTGCTGATCTGCCCGCCTTGGCCTCCCAAAGTGCTGGGATTACAAGCCTGAGCCAGCACGCCCGGCCTATTTTTTTTGAGACAGGGTTTCAACATATTGGCAACGCTGATCTCAAATCCTGACTTTGTGATCCTCCTGCCTTGGCCTCCCAAAGTGCTGGGATTACAGGCGTGAGTCACTGCACCTGGCCTATTCCCAATTTTTCTTAGCAAAGAATGGAAAAGCTTATGGGTCAACCTGAAGGACAGTAACTTTCATTTACAAATGAGTTAACAAATTTCTGCTGCTGGTACCGTATTTGCCACTCAGTAGCATTCAAAAGTTTCACTAGATTATAATGGAGGATGAATCACAAATGTCTAGGATCCTCCCCCATTAAATTCTTGACAGAAGACCCACAAAGATCATCTTTAAACCCCTTTTCTGCTCCTATGACTATTTAAGTCCCACCAAGTTAGTTAGCTTTTTAAAGCTCACATCTCTTGATCAGTGTAGAGGCAACATGCCATATGTAGGTAAAAAATCAACCCACGGTAGGGATCAAATGTACTGAAGCTTCAGTTAGGAGTAAGTGGTTCCAGTTTTGGATTGAGGACCCTAGTCAATGATGATCCTATTTTGTAATCCAGTTGTAAGATATCTGGCGAGCAGAGCGAAAAAAGTTAACGCTATGGAGTTGTCACTCCAACTGAAGAAAAATTATTAATAGGAGCAGCAGAACTTCAGTTCTGGAAAACTTTTTTTTTCTTTTGAGACGGAGTCTTGCTCTGTCGCCCAGGCTAGAGTGCAATGGTGAGAGGCTCATGGCAAACAGTGCCTTCTGGGTTCAAGCAATTCTCCTGCCTCAGCCTCCCGAGTAGCTGGGATTACAGGCACGCACCACCACACCTGGCTACTTTTGTATTTGTTGGCCAGGTTGGTCTCAAACTCCTGACCTCAGGTGATCCACCCGCCCCCGCCTCCCAAAGGGCTGGGATTACAGGTGAGCCAGTGTGCCGGGCCAAGTTTTGGAAAACTTTTAGTAAGGCTGAAGGCTTAGGCATGTTTTGACCATTTGTAACTGATAATGACACTCATCACAAGGTACCCACAAAATTCACTGCCAGTCACCCTGCTACGTCAAAGCCTCTCCTACTTCAGAACCTACCTAGCCATAATTTTAACTGACATTTTAGCAACAAAACTTTTATTTGAAGATATCCTTGAGCCACAAATCTCTCTGGATTTAGATTTCAAGCAGTAGAAAATAAGATGGTTTAACCTGCAATTCAGTAAAAGAACTTCACATCAAACTTCAATCTTTAAGAAGCTGCTACAGCTATACTGTAAGATTAAGAGTTTATTCTTTCAAAGCAGGTCTTCTCATCTCTTAAACGCTATATATATTAAGTAGATAAAAACTGCAACTTCTATTTTGGTAGCATTTAGGATCTACAAAAATGATCTTTCAATTACTTGGAATTTCAAAATAGAGGTTACCTATTAACAATGCATCAGTAGAACACAAAATACTCTGATTTTGTTTAGTCTGTGGGAAAAAAAAATCTTTAAACTGGAAAGATTCTGTAGCCTTACGAAGATTATTACACTGGAATTGGAATTACTGTAGTTCGTTTTTCCCTCTAGGAGGGCAGCCATTTCTCTACAAGTTTTGTAAAAGTTAAGACTCGGATTTCAAAATGCAAGCAGATGTTGATGAAGCATACGAAATGGGCAACTCCATTTCTATTTCGGAGCCGCAGTGACTCCGACTTTGTGCCCCAAGCCTGTAAAGCACAAAACCTCATCCCTTTGGTGTAAACCTTCAAGAGAAGTGGGGCAGCACACTTCAGGGTTTTCACCAACAGGCTGGCGACATGCTAGGTCAGGGTGTCCGGAGAATCGGGGCTGAATGGGAGAGATCTTGAGGGCAAGAGCCTCAGAGACCTTCAGGCACCGGGCTCGTGAAGGTTTCCACGTGCCCCTATCTAGCTGGTCCCAGGGGGAATTAGTGGTTGCTACAGTAGTTTAAGACGGCCGTGGTTTTTCGCACCCCAGGCGGCGAGATGGCGCTTTGGTGTAAGCGAGGTAAGGTGGGTGCACTGGGATCTCCGCTCTCGGAGCCTCCAGTTGACTGCCACGCCGACTTGCGGCCAGACCTGCGACCTCCGCCCTCCCCCGCGGCGCCAGTCTCTGGAATCTGGCGTCGCCCCCACTTCTCCAGTCGAAGTGGGAGTCCCTCTGTGCGGGACCTCGCCGCCATACCCAGGCCGAATGGGGGTGGGGAGGGAAGTTGACAGAGCTCGGCCTCAGGATCCGCGCCCCTGTGGAAGGACGGCAGAGGAGAGCCGTTTCACCAGCCTCTCCCGTGCTAGGGTCTCGGGAAACACGCGGTAATTACCGAAGAACCCCGCACTCTGTGAGAGGCGAGGCTGCGGGGTTGCCGGGACATTTTGAGGACCGGGCTCGGCCGGGGAGACTCCAACCTTCACCCTCCCTGGCCCCCGGTCCCACTTCCCGCCTTCTCCCGGCGCCGCCACTTCAGGCAGCCCACTCGGCCCGGCCTCTCCCCGCGCCCGGACCACCCCCCACGGGGTGCTCTCACTGCGCAGCGAGTCCCTCCGCTGCCTCCTCCCAGCCCAAAATGGCGGCGATGGCCGCCGATCTTCTCGTCGCCTTCCTCAAAGGCCAAGGATCCCTCCGCGCATACTGCCCCGCCCATCTTAGCCGGATCTCTTTTCTGCCCCGTAAAGATTAACGCCATCAATGAACTCTTTAATTGAGCTCGGAGAAGGCGGGTCCAGTTGTGCCTCCTCACAGCTAATCGTTGCCAAAAGTGAGAATATTGGCAGAAGGCTTGACCAATCAAAGAAGGCAGCGATGCACGCGCAGTCTGTCCCCGCTCAAGGGTAGATGGGTTTCGGAGTCTCGGGTGTGGCTGTTGACGTGACAGGCGCTTGGATCGCTTTTCAGGCTAGAAGAACTACAATCCCCAGCAGGCACCGCGCGTCCAGGCTCTCTCTCCTCCCCCCATCTTAGTGTCCTGAGCGGCTTGACTACAGCTGCTGCAACTGCAGCAAGAGGTAGGGCTGAGACGTTGGGAATTGCACCGACAGGCAGTCGCACAGAAAGACACACAGGTGTAGTGGTGTGCATAGCCCTTGACAGCGAATAGGTCAGTTCCACTTTTGCAAAACCTCTTTCCATGACTATCTCCCCTCTTCCAAGAAATCCATCCTTATCCCAGTTGGGTTTCCCGCTCAGCTGCATGTAGCGCAAAGACCTCTTTCCCCTTTCCCCTGTTTCCCTTTCTGAGAGGAAGGAGGGAGGCAGGCCATGACCTTAGAGGAAAAGGCCTCAGCACTAGGCTTGGCCCAGGTCCCAGCTGTGCTTCTGGCCTTTGGAGCCCAGCTTGGGGAGAAGGTTGGGGGTGCAGGGCTGCATCAAGATTGAGGCCCCGGAGACAGTGGGAAAGGACTCCTGAGCTTGCTCCATGTTCTTCCGTGGCAGCAGCAGCCCCACTGCACTCCCAGCCTCCCCAGGCAGTCCTCCTTTTCCCCTTTGGTGGTTGGGGAAACAAAGCTTACACCTGGCTTCCTGGCTGCCAGCCTGGGCCTCGATGACTTCCAGGAGGACAGTACAGGACATGAGCCCTGGTGAGAGACCCGAGGAGCAGGACAGGGAAGACGGCCCCTGAATCCCATTTGGCCCCTTGCTGGCTGGAGGTGTGAAAACCAGTGGTGGAGGCAGCCTTCGGGGCTTGCATTTGAGAATAAGGGTATGAAGAGCTGGGGTACAAAATGGCTGCCGCTGCCTGGGCAAACAATTCTGGGCAGCCAGAGTCTTCCTGAGAACGTTCCTTCAGAACTTGGATTTCTGATGTTGTTCAAAGCAGGTGTCACTAGTTCCAGGTGTCTGCTGAAAGATTTGGAACGGAAGATGATGGCCACTCCGAACCAGACCGCCTGTAATGCAGAGTCACCAGTAGCCCTGGAGGAGGCCAAGGTAAGCCCCTGCCCTCCTGCCCACCCGAGTACCCCGAGCATGGGTCCCACAGCTGAGATCCAAACTTCTTGTCTCAGATATGTTGGTAGATTTGGAAAACCAATATTTTGATGAGTCCCTACTATGCACTAGGCAATAGGCCGGAATCCCAGTCTATGCTAGCTTATGAAATCTTAGTAACTGGCTGGGTGCGGTGGCTCACACCTGTAATCCCAGCACTTTGGGAGGCCTAGGTGGGTGGATCACCTGAGGTCAGGAGTTCGAGACCAGCCTAACCAACATGGCGAAACCCTGTCTCTACTAAAAATGCAAAATTAGCCTGGGGTGGTGGTGGTGCATGCCTGTAATCACAGCTACTTGGGAAGTTGAGGCAGGAGAATCACTTGAACCCAGGGGGCAGAGGTTGCAGTGAGCCAAGATCTCGCAGTTGCACTCCAGCCTGGGCGTCAGAGCGAGACTCTGTCTCCAAAAAAAAAAAAAAAAAAAAGGAATCCTAGTAACCCTTTCAGGCAGGAATTACTTCCAATTCCCAGAAGCCAAGGTTCTGAGACCTGAAATACCTGTTCCAGAATCATGCTGTCTACAAGCAACAGACCCAGGGTTTAAACTTAGGGCCTTCTGACAACTGAACATTGCCTTGACCTCAAGTTCAAAGAGGGCATGGAGGGACTGGGTTGAATGTTTGCGTTTTGTCCAGGCCATGAACCAAGTCTGAAGCAGGAAGAAGAGTTTTTGGTTTATAATTTGAATGGACCCAGGCAGGCAATTCACTTGAGACCAGGAGTTCAAGACCAGCCTGACCAACATGGTGAAACCTCATCTCTAGTAAAAATACAAAAATTAACTGGGCATGGTGGCACATGCCTGTAATACCAGCTACTCAGGAGACTGAGGCATGAGAATCACTCGAACCCGGGATGCAGAGGTTGCAGTGAGCTGAGATCACACACTGCACTTTAGCCTGGGCGACAGAGTGACACTCCATCTCAAAAAAGAAAAAAAAAAAAAAACAGGCCAGGCAGTGGCTCATGACTGTAATCCTAGCACTTTTGGAGGCTGAGGCAGGTGGATCATCTGAGGTCGAGAGTTCAAGACCAGCCTGGCCAACATGGTGAAACCCTGTCTCTACTAAAAATACAAAAATTAGATGGGCGTAGTGATGGGTGGCTGTAATCCCAGCTACTCAGGAGGCTGAAGCAGAAGAATCACTTGAACCCATGAAGTAGAGGTTGCAATGAGCTGAGATCGTGCCATTGCACTCCAGCCTGGGCAACAAGAGCAAAACTCTTTCAAAAAAAAAAAAGAAAAGAGCTCGAAGCTGGGCGCAGTGGCTCACGCCTGTAATCCCAGCACTTTGAGAGGCCGAGGTGGGCGGATCACTTGAGGTCAGGAGTTCGAGACCAGCCTGACCAACATGGAGAAACCCCATCTCTACTAAAAATACAAAATTAGCCGGGTGTGGTGGCGCATGCCTGTAATCCCAGCTACTTGGGAGACTGAGGCAGGAGAATCGCTTGAACCTAGGAGGCGGAGGTTGCTGTGAGCAGAATTTGCACCACTGCGGTCCAGCCTGGGCAACAAGAGGGAAACTCCGTCTTCAAAAAAAAAAAAAAAGAGTTCGAGACCAGCCTGGCTAACATGAGGAAACCCCGTCTCTACTAAAAATACAAAAAAATTAGCTGGGCATGGTGGCGGGTGCCTGTAATCCCAGCTACTCAGGAGGCTGAGGCAGGAGAATTGCTTGAAACTGGGAGGCAGAGGTTGCAGTGAGCCGAGATCACGCCCCTGCATTCTAGCCTGGGCAACACAGTGAGACTCCATCTCAAAAAAAAAAAAACAAAACAACCCTGAAATTAGCCCAGTGTGGTGGTGCATGCCTGTAATCCCAGCTGCTTGGGAGGCTGAGGCATGAGAATCACTTGAACCCAGGAGGCAGAGGTTGCAGTGAGCTGAGATCACGCCACTGCACTCCAGCCTGGGTGATGAAGTCACACTGTCTCAATAAAATAATTTGGAATGGAGGTGGGGGGTTAGGATATAACCTGCAAAAGAGGAGAGAGAAAGCTCGTATCAGACCCTCAGAGGATGCCACTTTCCAACTTGGCAACAGGAACCCATGCTTGTTCAGCCCGTGTTCTCTCACTACCTGCCCTTACCCATTCTTCCTTAGTCCATGCCTCCCTATAGATGAGCAGGGAGCTTAGGAGAGGGGTCAGAGAGCTTCTGACCCATGCTGCCTAGCCTATTCCGTGTTTTCTGGATTGACTGAATTTGGAATTCATGACGTGTCAGGGCTACAGTGTTCAGCCAGGTCACACAGCTTATCTACAGTAGTGGTCATGGTGGTAGAGGGCCAAGTCTTCAGGAGGGAGGCAGCAGGTAGGGCTAGGGGGCTGGGTTTGCTTGGGTGAGGGTGGAGGATCAACAGGGCACTTTTACTGAGGGCTGGGAACATGTGACTGATTGTGCACACCAACAAGCCACCCTGCCTTGGCATCCCAGTGGCCTTGCCTGTCCCAGGTGGGGTGACAGCTCTATCTCATTTGGCCCAAGCCACTGGTGGAGACAAGGGCTATTGCTTATATTTAGTGATCTCCCTGCAGGTGAAGTAACACAACAAACTCCACATACATACATACATACCCCATACACATACACAGCCTGACATACCTCCTTTTCCCTGAAATTCTCTTCAGGGTCTGCAAAACACACATGACATATGCCTGGCTCTTAAGGACTGCGCACACACCACATTCCTCAGTACACACCCTGTGTGCATGGACCCATGCTCACATGTCTGTGAACTGCATTGCATATTACTCAACAACATACCAGTGGTAGTGGTTATTATTAGAAATTGTCCAAACCACAGACTTAGAGCAATTCATTTCCCATCTCCCACACCCAGTACTCCCACCCTTCCCACAACAGAGATAAACAGATGCCCTGAGCCTATACTGTCTTGACAGACTCTTTCTACCTCTTAGATAAGTTCTGGAACTCTCTTACTACAGACTGGAGGCCGACCCTCCCTCTCCTTGGAGAGGACCTCTTTCCTGCCATTCATATTGGAGAGTGATGCCAACTACCAACTTCTGCCTGGAATAAATATGTTCCATCATTTTATTTTATGTTTTAATTTAATTTAATTTTTAAATTTAATTTTATTTTTTGAGACAGAGTCTTACTCTGTTGCCCAGGCTGGAGTGCAGTGGCACGATCTCACTTCACTGCATCCTCTGCCTCCCAGGTTCAAGCGATTCTCCTGCCTCAGCATCCCGAGTAGCTGTGATTACAGGTGCCCACCACCATGCCCGGCCAATTTTTTTGTATTTTTAGTAGAGATGGGGTTTCACCATGTTGGCCAGGCTGGTCTCAAACTCCTGACCTCAGGTGATCTACCAGCCTCAGCCTCCCAAAGTGCTGAGATTACAGGCATGAGCCACCATGACCAACCTGCTACATCTTCTTTATGCCAGAAGGATAGAGAGGGGAGTCTTATTTGTCTGTTTTTTTTAAATTATTATTTTTATTTTATTTATTTATTTTTTGAGACTCCAATTCTGTCACTCAGGCTGGAGTGCAGTGGCGTGATCACAGCTCACTGCAGCCTCAACCTCCCACTTCAGCCTCCCAAGTAGCTGGGATTACAGGTGCTCACCACCATGCCTGGCTAATTTTTTGTAATTTTTGGTAGAGATGGGGTTTCGCCATGTTGCCCAGGCTGGTCTTGAACTCCTGGGCTTCAGCAATCCACCTGCCTCGGCCTCCCAAAGTGCTAGGATTACCAGCATGAGCCACCGTGCTCGTCTGTAAGTCTTATTTCCCAATATCTTTTGGATCTCCCTATCTTACAGGTTTTAGGCCACTTAACAGATATTTACTGAGCACTGCCCTTGTGCTGTGCATAGGAATATAGTGGTGACTTGGACAGACAGACAAGATGCGTTCTTACATGAGGAAGACAGATGTTAAATGGCCATATGCTAAATGCTGTGTGCTAACTGCGTGACATGATAGAATCACTAGGGAGGGTAGATGGGGAGTCTACTTTAGGTAAGGTGGTCAAGGAGGGGCTCCCTGAGGAAGTGACATTGGAACTAAGCTCTAAAAGGTTAAAAAAAGGTGGCTGGGGGCAGTGGCTCACGCCTGTAATCCTGGTACTTTGGGAGGCTGAGGCAGGTGGATCACTTGACATCAGGAGTTTGAGACCAGCCTGGCCAACATGGTGAAACTCTGTCTCTACTAAAAATACAAAAAGTTAACTGGGCATGGTGCCTGTAATCCCAGCTACTCCGGAGGCTGAGGTAGGAGAATCGCTTGAACCTGGAAGGTGGAGGTTGCAGTGAGCTGAGATCGGGCCACTGCACTCTAGCCTGGGCAACAGAGGGAGACTCTTGTCTCAACAAAAAAAAAAAAAAAAAAAAAAAGAGCCCAGGGGTGGGGGCTCACGCCTGTAATCCCAGCACTTTGGGAGGCCGAGGTGGGCAAGTTACTTGAGGTCAGGAGTTCCAGACCAGCCTGGCCAACATAGTGAAACCCCATCTGTACTAAAAATACAAAAATTAGCCTGGCATGGTGGTGCACACCTGTAGTCCCAGCTACTCAGGAGGCTGAGGCGGGAGAATCGCTTGAACCCGGGAGGCAGAGGTTGCAGTGAGCCGAGATGGTACCATTGCACTCCAGCCTGGGCAACAGAGTGAGACTGTCCCACATACACACACACAAAAAGATGAAGAAAAAGTCAGCCATGCAAGTAGCTGGAAGCAAGATCAGCTACATAATTTGTGGGGCCTAGTGCAAAAGGGCACCTTATTCAAAAATTATTAAAAAGTTAAAGATAGTGGCCGGGTGTGGTGGTGCATGCCTGTAGATCCAGTTACTTGGGAGGCTAAGGCAGGAGGATTGCTTGATCCTAGGAGTTTGAGGATGCAGGGAGTTGTTATTGCACCACAGCATTCCTGCCTGGGCAATAGAGTAAGACCCTATCTCTAAAAATAAAAGGTCTTTTTTGTTTGTTTGTTTTTGAGATGGAGTCTCACTCTGTCGCCCAGGCTGGAGTGCAGTGGCACAATCTCAGCTCATTGCAAGCTCCGCCTCCTGGGTCCACACCATTCTCCTGCTTCAGCCTCCTGAGCAGCTGGGATTACAGGCGCCCGCCACCACGCCTGGCTAATTTTTTTGTATTTTTAGTAGAGACAGGGTTTCACCTTGTTAACCAGGATAGTCTCGATCTCCTGACCTCATGATCTGCCTGTCTCAGCCTCCCAAAGTGCTGGGATTACAGGCGTAAGCCACCTCACCTGGCCTGTTTGTTTTTGAGATGGAGTCTCGCTCTGTCTCTCAGGCTGGAGTGCAGTGGTACAATCTTGGCTCACTGCAACTTCTGCCTCCCATATTCTCCAGCCTCAGCCTCCTGTGTAGTGGGGATTACAGGCATGCACCACCACACCTGGCTTATTTTTGTATTTTTAGTAGACATAGGGTTTCACCATGTTGGTCAGGCTGGAGTCAAACTCCTGACCTCAGGTGAGCTGCCCACCTCAGCCTCCCAAAGTGCTGGGGATTACAGGCCTGAGCCACCACGCTGAGCCTAAAAAAAACTTATTTCAGCCAGGCGCGGTGGCTCAAGCCTGTAATCCCAGCACTTTGGGAGGCCGAGACAGGCGGATCACGAGGTCAGGAGATCGAGACCATCCTGGCTAACACAGTGAAACCCCGTCCCTACTAAAAAATACAAAAAAAAACTAGCCGGCGAGGTGGCGGGTGCCTGTAGTCCCAGCTACTCAGGAGGCTGAGGCAGGAGAATGGCGTAAACCCGGGAGGCAGAGCTTGCAGTGAGCTGAGATCCGGCCCCTGCACTCCAGCCTGGGCGACAGAGCGAGAGACTCCATCTCAGGAAAAAAAAAAAAACTTATTTTAGGCCGTGCGCAGTGGCTCACTCCTGTAATCTCAGCACTTTGGGAGGCCAAGGCGGGTGGATCACCTGAGGTCAGGAGTTCGAGACTAGGCTGGCCAACATGGTGAAACCCTGTCTCTACTAAAAATACAAAAAAATTAGCTGGGCGTGGTAGCACATGCCTGTGATCCCAGCTACACGGGAGGCTGAGGCTGGAGAATTCCGGAGGAAGAGGTTGCAGTGAGCTGAAATTGCGCCACTGCACTCCAGCCTGGGTGACAGGGAGACTCCGTCTCAAAAAATGAAATAAAATAAGGGTTTTTAAAAATAATATGTTTAAGACAAGGACAGCATGAAGCCAGGTGTGAGGCCTCTGTGGAACTTAACAGGTCACCTGCCCATGAAGCCAGCTGTGTTTGAAAGTCAGGCTTTCTGGGAAGAGGGAAGAGCCAGTGGCATTTGGGCTTCTGATCAAGCAAATGTATCAAGATCTGTCTGCTATCCCAGTTTTCTTCTTCTCCTACTTTACTCATTTGGACAGTATTTATGGAACTCCTACTCAGTGCCAGGTATTATTCTAGGCATTGAAATTACAGAGTGAAACACACAGGCAAAATTCCTGCTGTTACCATGAGTTTACTCGGGGAAGGCTGGGGGACAGACAGTAGACAGGTCACTTTGTAAACAAATGGTTGCAAAAGGGTGAGGGGCTAAAAGTGACCAAGTTAGCTGAGTGTGGGAAGGTTGGCTTCAAACTGGGTAGAGAGGGAAGGGTTCCACCTCCAAGGACAGGCTGTCTGATCCATCCTTCTTCCTCCTCCCCCTCTTTAGACCTCTGGTGCCCCGGGGAGCCCCCAAACACCCCCTGGGCCTCATGACTCTGGTGGTTCCCTGCCCCTGACACCCCGGATGGAGAGCCACTCAGAGGATGAAGATCTTGCTGGGGCTGTCGGTGGCCTGGGCTGGTACAGTAGGAGTCCCCGGACCCAGAACCCAGGGGGCTGCTCAGCGGAGGCTGTGCTGGCCCGGAAGAAACACCGTCGGCGGCCGTCGAAGCGCAAACGGCACTGGCGACCCTACCTGGAGCTGAGCTGGGCTGAGAAACAACAGCGGGATGAGAGGCAGAGCCGGAGGGCCTCCCGGGTCCGCGAGGAGATGTTCGCCAAAGGCCAGCCCGTGGCCCCCTACAACACCACCCAGTTCCTGATGAATGACCGAGACCCGGAGGAGCCCAACTTGGATGTGCCCCATGGGATCTCCCACCCAGGTTCCAGTGGGGAGAGTGAGGCCGGGGACAGTGATGGGCGGGGCCGAGCGCACGGTGAGTTCCAGCGGAAGGACTTCTCTGAGACTTATGAGCGCTTCCACACCGAGAGCCTGCAGGGCCGCAGCAAGCAGGAGCTGGTGCGAGACTACCTGGAGCTGGAGAAGCGGCTGTCGCAGGCAGAGGAGGAGACTAGGAGGCTGCAGCAGCTGCAGGCGTGTACTGGCCAGCAGTCCTGCCGCCAGGTGGAGGAGCTGGCTGCCGAGGTCGAGAGGCTCCGGACTGAGAACCAGCGGCTTCGGCAGGAGAACCAGATGTGGAACCGAGAGGGCTGCTCCTGTGATGAGGAGCCGGGTACCTAGGGGTGCCTCCCAGCCTGGTGGACCCAAGGAGAAGGTCCCATTTTGTGCACACTCAGGCCAGCTGGGTCTCAAGGAGGCAGGTGGCAGATGAAAACCACCGTCAACACCCTTTGCCCCCTGAGAACAGCTAAATTGGTTCAGACTCCCACCTCACCGTTTCCACAGTTGGCTCTTTCGTGTCATCTTACTCTTTACAGAGAAATTAAATGGTCTTAGTGGGACCAAATGGGAGTTTCTAGGATTGATTTCACTAGGGCTGTTGTGAGAACCAAAACATTTGCCCCAGAGAAGTCTGAGTGGGGTCCCAGTCCCCACTGCCCCAAGCCTGGCAGGACAGCGGACCTCTGGATGGGGACCTCCCAAGTTCTCCAGGATACCTGAATCCTGCTCTGTGGGTGTTGGAGCAATCAGACTGCACGAAAGGTTTTCTAGGTGGGAGGGAACTCCGTCAGGAGCCCCCAGTTTCGGCCAGAAACTGAAGCTCAAAATACCAGATCGCTCTGAGGAGTTGTGAGCTTTCCCTAGAGGAGAGGACAGGGGTTTTTGGAGAAGACCCAGGGGTTCCTTCAGAGTTTGCTGCTGAGCTCCCTGTATTCTCCCCACAGTTTAAAGGCTGGACCAGATGGGTTCTGGGTGCCTTGTACCTCCTTGTTCTTGACAGCCCCCAACCCCGACCCCTCTCAGCAGAGGGTTGGGCCTGAGGTTAGTCATCATATGTTTGTGTTTGTCCCTTTACCTCCCAAGGGTACTAAGGGAGGTGCTCTCCTGGTGGAAAATAAAGTCAAGAGACAGAGGGGGACAGCACATGGATCCCCCGCAGAGCAGAGCAGCCTGGCTCTCCTGGTGCCTGCCGTGCATCTGTGCGTCCTGCTCCTTTCAGCCTCATCATGTGGGTGTGAATTCCCTCTGAAGTGTGTGAGGCCCTCGCCTGTCTGTGCATCAGAGACAGCTGGGTCAGCCTGGGTAAGGCAGATACCACCAGCCAGCATCAGGCTCTGAGACAAGCTCACTCACCCCTCACACTCAGACCCACCCTTCCCCAGGCACCCTGTCTCTTCCATCCCTTCCTGGTGCCCTTGCAGGCTAGTGTTGGGTGTCAGGCAGCAATGAACATGGATAACTAGTGGTGGTGGAGGAAATTCGTCAACTCACCAGTGAGCCAGTGCTGGCTGTGCCACCAGGCAAGGGGAGGGGCAGAGGCCTGGCTGCCCAGCCTGGCTTCTCTTCCAGGCCCTCATCTTGACAGGCCACATTGGGCAAGATGAGGCTCAGCCCAGGAGCTTCTGGGGATGGAAATGTTGATGAAATCTTGTGTGTTGCCAGGACAACTTTCATTTCTATCCTGCCACACCCAGGCCTGGCCAGAGCCTCCTACAATGAAACACAGAACAGATTCTAGGAACGCATGGGTTTCAAGAGAAAGCAAAATCCCATCCTGGGAGACCTGCCCCTAGAACCCTGGGTCCTCAGACGGCTCAGTCAGGAAGGGCAGCAGGACTGATCATCCCCACTTTGCAGATGGGAAACCGGAGGCTTAGCGAGGAAGTGGCTTTTCGGATTCCAGGAGAGCCTCTGGAGGCCTGCCTGCCCCTGTGGACTGCTGTGGGGTGCTAACCTGGGACCCAGAGGCCCCTTGGCATTTGCTGGCAGCCTCCCAGCTGCATTCCTCAGCATGGAGCCTGAGGGAGAGAGGAGGCCCCGGACAAAGGTGGACAAAGGTTGTTTACCCGGAGGTGCCTCTGTGTGTGTGTATGTGTGTCTAGGAGGTGAGAGAAGATTCCAGAGGGCTGCTGGAGTGTCGGGGGAGGGGTGTGGGTGCGGGTGCTGGGGGCGCATTGTGGGCTGGTCGTGCCAGGGAGGGGCAGGTGAAGAGTCTGGCCCTTCTTGGCCCAGAAGCTGCCGAGCCTGGAGGAAGGAAAGCTGCCAGCCGCTCCCCCAACATCCCTCTTCACATAAAAGGCTGAAGGGCGCAAATAGGGCAGCACCTCGGTGGGTTAATTCCCGCACCCCCGCCTCACCCCGCTGGAGGGCGGGTGGGGCAAGAAGAGAACAAAGGAGAGGATGCGAGCTGGGAGTGTGGGAGGGCCTGAACCCAAATGGGAGGGGTCCGTGAAGAGGGTCCCTGTCCGCCCCTCCCCCCGTCTGGCTCCCTGATTCCTGGGTAAGGGGTGTGCAGGGAGGAGATGGTCCTGGGGCCAGAGCTGGGGCTTAGCACTGCAGAGAACCGGCTCAGCTGTGGGTGGGAGCCAGGCCTGGGTCCCTTGGTGCCCCGCCCCCTTCGCCGCTTCCAGTTGTTCCCACACCTGCTGCTTGGTCTTGAAGCCTGGGCCTCCACTCCGCCCACTGCAATGGTAGAAGCTCCAGTTTATAAGACACCCCTACCCCCACATCACACGCCCTAACTGGGGAAGTTGGGCTTGGACACAGCCTCCCTGGGCCTTTCCAGAGCTGCCCTCACGCCCTGTGCTTTCTGGGACCCTCTTGGTCAACTGGGCGGGGGAGGGAAGCGCAGAGAACAGATGTTTCACGGGAGTGACTATTGAAGCCTCCCACCACCCTCCCACCACCCCGGCCCAGCCTGGCTCAGGATCCCTTTTTCTTCCCCGGCAGGAACTCCCCGACCCCAGGTGGAAACTCCTGTGTCCAGTGGACAGACCCTGCCTGCGATAGGGTCAGGGAATGAGGGAGAGGGGTGGGCGGAGGTTGGTGAGGTGGAGCAGGAGGAAGCTGTCAGGGAGTGGGGAACGGGGTCCAAAGGGAAGTAACGGTATTGGGGGGAAAGGTAGCCAGGTCCCATTGCCCCGTTGGGAACAGGCAAGTGTGGCACTGGCCCTTTAAGTGGGGGTGCCAGTTAGTGCCCTCCCCCAACCAACCCAATTCATGGGCACACTGAGCATGTGCAGGGGCTGTGCATGTGGGGAGGGGAGGAGAGGGGAGGAGAGGGGAGGAGAGGGGAGGAGAGGGGA